CTATCCAAAGGGTGGTGCATTAAATAACAGTTCATGATCTCAGTTTTCAAATGGAGGAAAAAATAAATTAAAGAACCTTTAACTCCTAACATCAGTACTGTGTTATGTAAGCTGCAGCTGAATTAGTTATTTTTTAACTCATTCAGCTTTGGGGCCCCAAATGAAGTTCCAGTGCTTTTTTTTGTTGACAGTGATTTCAGTCATCCATAAAAATGCTCTCGAAAAAAGGAAAATGAACTTTTTCCCTTCCAATATTTCACGTTCGAGTTCTCAGTTAACAAAATTTGGAGCCCCCATTCTCCGAAACCTCAACAAAATGTCAAATCTCATCAAATTTTCAATGCTGTAATGTTATTTTGGAAATCTACTTTTTTACCTTTTCATTATATACAATTTTTTTTCTTTTTTTTGTTAGTTTGATTTAGTTTTCCACACAGTTATGATCTCAAATGTGATGAAATAACTGCAATACAACAATATATTCAGTTTAATTGTCAGACCACCATGAGGACATTTGAATGAATGTCTAGAATAAGTGTGTGAGGAGGCTTAACTCCAATGTTCGTTTGTAATAAATATGAAAAACAACCTGTAGAACAGTGTGAAAAAGTAACAGCGAAGCGGCATGTGGTTGAATGAAGGCCCAGGTCCGACCCGCTCATCCTGTGGCCCGCCTCGGCCTCGGCCCGTTCTCGCCGCTGTTAAATGGTTCATTCACATGAATTTTAGATGAGGCCTGAGCGTTTGGCTCTGTTTTACCGTCCGTCTCTGTCAGTCCTTCAGGAAGCGGTGAGTACCAGAGACCCCGAGCTGGTGCGTCTCGTGCTCCGTTACCGTGACAACCAGAGGACTGCCAAGAGGCTGGCGGGCATCCCTGTCCTGCTGGAGCGACTGCGCCAAGTGGGATTTCACACAAACACACACCGAAATATCCTCTTTAAACACAGCCGATCTCAGAGAAAACAAGCGAGTGCCGCTTAGACGACAGCCTGCATAAACTACAGACAAACTACAGATATCAAGGAGGATTATCATTCGTTTGAAATGTAGATGTTTGTTTGTTCGGCGTAAGATATTTTCCTTTTCAAGGATTTTCTCGCAATTCTTCCCCCCCCCCCCCCCCCCCAAAAAGACACGTCCCGGTGTGCCGCACCATGCTGCACCGCAGTCTGTCTCTCGGTAATCTCCAGCCCCTAAAGTGGTCAGAACTGCTGTGATAAAAGGCGCCGGGGGCCCGGCCGAACACGCGTAGAGGGGGTGGGCTCGCGCACGAGCTCGTGCACAAGCTTGGCGCTTAGAATCCTTCAGCTGCAGCCTTTGCTGCTGCACACAGCAGTGGCAGAGATGTAGCGAGCTGCCTTCACACAGTCTGTCTGAGTGCGTTTCTAATCCAGCTGGCTTCCTGATACTCGCGCACACACACAATAAAGTGCGCACACACATTAGACTCAACACCCTCACACTTTTAAAACGAGAGTACTGGCACCGGAGGCCTAACGCATGTCCCTGCCTCCTTCATCTGCTGCTCCTCTCACCCACACCGTTGGCCTCTCCGTCCATCAGCTCTATTATTTCAAAGGCACACACTCGCCGCACTCCTCTGCGCCCGTCTTTTGGCTGAGAAACTCAACTCATTTTTTTTACCCCCCCCCTCCTCATTTATCTTCATCACTATTTGACTAATTCATCTTTAGGTCCATTGCTTTCCATCTCCCTCCTAATCAATCTGCTCTCTGTCCAGGCCCAAGACTTTTACGTGGAGATGAAATGGGAGTTCACGAGCTGGGGTGAGTCCAGTAAAGTGTCCAAGTTACAAGTAATCACACTATTGTGTTCTTCTGACAGTATAAATTCCAGTTTCTTTTCTGCTGTTTTATTGGGGGGAAAAAAGCAAAAAATTCTCAGACTTCTTGTTAGGCCTTAGTCACCGGCCATTTATCTGTTGCCTGAAAGGCGGCACTATCAAAAGCAATTCACGAGGGAAGAAAATGTCTCCTTGTTCGCCCTCAGTTCCCCTGGTGTCTCGCATCTGCCCCAGTGACACCTACCGAGTCTGGAAGAGCGGTCAGTGTTTGCGTGTGGACACCACCCTGATGGGGTTTGAGCAGATGACCTGGCAGAGAGGCAACAGGAGCTTCATATTTAGAGGGCAAGGTATGTGTATGTGTGTATATATATAGATATACAGGGGTTGGACAATGAAACTGAAACACCTCTCATTTTAGTGTGGGAGGTTTCATGGCTAAATTGGACCAGCCTGGTGGCCAATCTTCATTAATTGCACATATAACCAATAAGAGCAGACTGTGAAGGTCCAATTAGCAGGGTAAAAGCACAGTTTTGCTCAAAATATTGCAATGCACACAACATTATGGGTGACATAACAGAGTTCAAAAGAGGACCAATTATTGGTGCACGTCTTGCTGGCGCATCTGTGACCAAGACAGCAAGTCTTTGTGATGTATCAAGAGCCACGGTCTCCAGGGTAATGTCAACATACCACCAATAAGGACAAACCACATCCAACAGGATTAACGGTGGATGCAAGAGGAAGCTGTCTGAAAGGGATGTTCGGGTGCTAACCCGGATTGTATCCAAAAAACATAAAACCACCGCTGCCCAAATCACGGCAGAATTAAATGTGCACCTCAACTCTCCTGTTTCCACCAAAACTGTCCGTCGGAAGCTCCACAGGGTCAATATACACGGCCGGGCTGCTATAGCCAAACCTTTGGTCACTCGTGCCAATGCCAAACGTCGGCTTCAATGGTGCCAGGAGCGCAGATCTTGGGATGTGGACAATGTGAAACATGTATTGTTCTCTGATGAGTCCGCCTTTACTGTTTTCCCCACATCCTGGAGAGTTACGGTGTGGAGAAGCCCCAAAGAACCGTACCACCCAGACTGTTGCATGCCCAGAGTGAAGCATGGGGGTGGATCAGTGATGGTCTGGGCTGCCATATCATGGCATTCCCTTGACCCCCTACTTGTGCTAGATGGGTGCGTCACTGCCAAGGACTACTGAACCATTCTGGAGGACCATGTGCATCCAATGGTTCAAACACTGTACCCTGAAGGAGGTGCCGTGTATCAGGATGACAATGCACCAATACACACAGCAAGACTGGTGAAAGATTGGTTTGATGAACATGAAAGTGAAGTTGAACATCTCCCATGGCCTGCCCAGTCACCAGATCTAAATATTATTGAGCCACTTTGGGGTGTTTTGGAGGAGCGAGTCAGGAAACATTTTCCTCCACCAGCATCACGTCGTGACCTGGCTACTATCCTGCAAGAAGAATGGCTTAAAATCCCTCTGACCACTGTGCAGGACTTGTATATGTCATTCCCAAGACGAATTGACGCTGTATTGGCCGCAAAAGGAGGCCCTACACCATACTAATAAAGTATTGTGGTCTGAAACCAGGTGTTTCAGTTTCATTGTCCAACCCCTGTATATTTATATGCGTATAAATCTTTAATCAGCACTCTTCCTTTCTCCACCTATTACATTGTTTTGCTTGCTTTTATCCTTAGGTATTTAGTGTCTTTGCATCTCACAACGTTATGGATTTATCCTTTGCGTCTCTCTCGCTCACTGTATTTATCTTACTTTCCGTCTCCTCCTGTCCCTCAGACTCCAGCGCAGAGGTGATGGAGGTTGACCACGACCGGCAGCTGGTGTTCTGCGAGACCCTGTGCGTCTCGGCGCTCACGGCGCTCTCGCCCGGCAGGGTTAAAGGCGGCGCCTGCAGCAGCTCGGCGGCGGGGCTGGGCCTCCTCGGGGCCATGCAGCCCAGCGATGAGCAGGTAGCGGCCAGGCTGTCCGCTCCGGTGGTCACCACTCAGCTGGACACCCGCAACATCGCCTTCGAGAGGTCAGAAATTAGTGCAAACTCTGGAGCGCCAAACCGTAGGTTCTTATGAACGCATGGTGTTTTTCCAAACTCGTAAAGCCCAAACAGCACGAGGCAGCTTCTAATAAATATTCATCAGTGTTTAAACTGGCACACATGAAATTTTCTCCCACTACAATGCTCTCAGCACATCAAGCCACTGAGCATGTTCTACCCGAGACCGTTTCTTTTTGTTTTTTTTATTACACAAAGAAAAAGTCTCCTTTTGTTGTTACAGTTGAATTTTTGCCACTGTTTCAGAGATGTTTTCTCCCACACTGTGGCCCACAGCCGAGGAGAACGAGTTGAGTCATGTTCTCTGGTGGCTGTCAAAAATGCCTTTGACAAACCGAAAGCAAACACAAACAGTCACAACGGCACCGGGAGGAGGCAGAGGCAACAAAGCTGGCGTAAAGCTTTGAAAAACAACAAAAAGAATCGACCGCCAAGATTCCAGGAGAAGCTAGTCACTCACTCCGGTTACCATTTTAAATTTATGACTGGCTGTTGCTCACTTCAGTGGTCAGCGGCTCATCTACTTTGTGCCGCCATGGAACATCAGAGCCACATGACAAAAAGAGAGATGACAGAACAGGGAGGCTTTTGGACAAAGAGATGTGGAGGGGAATACATAATATGGAGCCAGAAAAGAGAGTATGCAACAAAATAATAAATAAAGAATAAAGACAGGTAAGAGAAAAGGGAGAAGAAAAGGTGTTACAAGAGAAAGAGAGATGTGAGTTGAAAGAAGGATGTATTGATGGTTTTGGAATGCAGGAAGGGAAAATATTAGATGGTAGAAATGGCAGAAAGATGGAGTTATACGCAGAGGCAAGAAGAGAATATTAAGAGATTATTAAAAGAAATTGAGCCAAAAAGAAGATGGAGAGGAGAGCAACTCAGGAAAAGGGAGGTGATGGCAGGGGGGGTAATCGTCTCCTTGTCACACCTCCACCTCGGTGTCACCTCTGGGCCTTTTCTCCAGTCAGCACTCCCGTCTACATGCCAATAATCTATTTATGATGCTTTAGAGCAAACTACTTTGTCAAGCACAGCGGATAGGACACCTGCCTCAGGAGCTGATCCTTCTTTATGCTGCCTGGCACAAAACCACCACAGGGCTGTAGGTTTGGGCTCCTACGCGTGGGCTAAAGGCAGCAAAATGAACCCAACTCTCTGTAACCGACTAACAAAAGAACTCTGGAGAGGACATTTTGTGTTCTTTTGTATTTTTCTATCTATGACTTCATTTCTGTGGCAACATTTCATGAGACTAATGGGGAAACTGGGGCAAGAGCAACCCCCCTTTTGGTTGAAAATACGACATTCGTTTGGCCCTTTTGTCCTCTTAATAAGCACAGAATTTCCATACACGTGTTTTAATCAAGAAATGTATATTTTTTCTTTTTCCATTTTCTTTTTTTCAGATTACATTCTTCTGCTTTGTGAGTGCATAAATCGGAATCCCCCCCCCAAAACTAAAAATAAGGAAAAAAGTTCCAAAGATTTCATGAATTCTTTATGAATCTCTGGGATATGCTTTGATCATTAAGGGAGCACAGCAGCTGCCTTTTGTGCCATGGATTACACCCTATAATTAACTTTTGCTTGTTTTTGGGTTGGGAGTGACCCTTTTTACTCCATTCGGCCTCTCTCTTCTGTCTTTTCAGATCAGTATTGCTCAATATCTCTTAAGACAAGTTATTGCCCGATCAAAGAGCACGCAGGTACCAGTGCCGGAGAGCTTATGGCCGTGCTCACAATTGCAGAGTCAGGACATTTTTATAGTCTCGGCCTGGTTGAGCCCATTACTCTCATTGGGGAGGCACGGAAACTGATGTCTCACTGTTTTTCTCTCGTAGCCCCGGCTGATCATTCTTATTAACGTCTGTTGGCATGACCACCCCGCAGAGGGGCAGCGTGTTTATGTACCCCTTCGTCCATCAAACGACATCAGCCTTTTTTTACGCTTCAGACCCGTGGAATGTTTCAGGTTTAGTTGCAGTCTTTGCACACTTATCGATTCATCGGAAGTGCTCTCTTTAAGTCTTTTAGCTCTCTGGATTTATTTATCCTATGAAATCCATCATCGGACTAATCTCTTTTTTTATTAACTTATTCGGTCATTAGAGCATGTTTGTAAAATCTTTTTTATGGACCTTCATCAAACCCAGAGATGTCTTGAAACACAGGTTAAAAATAATACAGCAATACACAAAAACAATAATGAAATATGCATGCAGATGTGAAAATGGAACAATATAAAACATCATAGTTTAATCATCAAAGGTACATGACACATGTTTAAAGAGTACCATTACCCCTCTAACATCATTTAACACTGACACAAAAAGGCTTAATATAAAGAGAATTTTATGTTAATTTAACATACAGTTGAATTATACAGTATTTATTAATTTTATCTACCTCTAGTGTTACTATAAACAATTTATGAGGTTTATGACATCTAAAGAAGATATTTCTTCATGTCCTCCACTGTTTGATCCACTGTCTATTTTCCATCTTTAAATAGAATTACAGAGTGAGGTTTACAGGACAAGGAATCATTATTCTAACTGCTTTTTTAAATAGAATGTACAGGTTTTCTTTAGTTTTCCCTCCATTAAAAATCTCCAACTATACGGACACTTAAAGCCTTTACTTGAACGATCTGCAATGCTTACATTTGTCCACAAAACAACTGTTACTGTTACCAGTCTGACCAGTTTCTTGGTTTCGTCGCCCAAATGATAAATTTGAAAACATTGGAGACAGAATTTATGAACACTTTGGAACCCATGATAAAATTCTGATCGCTCTTGGGTTATACCGTCTGGGTTATCGGGAAACTAAACAAATCAAACATTTACCATTTTTATTTTGCTTCTTGAGAAAATAAACATTCAGCAAAGGGGAGAGTACAGTGAAAACCCTTATGAGGTGTATTGTGACACAGTCTCAGAAAATCTCAGTATACCGGTGGCCCCCCTACTCACTGAGGAAACTCTACTTTAAATTAATATCATATCTACTGGGACTGTCCTGTTCCTAAAAAATACCAGAGAGAGATGTTAAATAGAATGCTATCTTTAAATGTGTAATAACCGAAGAATTTAGGGTTATATATTTTGGACATATAAGCTCAGGAATAGATGAAAGAAGACAAACTGCTCATGGTGCCGGTGGCTGTCCAAAAGGCACAGGAGCGCCCAGCTTTAAATATACAGATACCACAGTGTATATAAGATTTACTTAAAGTCGATGAAGGGCTGATTTGTAGGGATAAACATCCTTGAAATTCTGTGGTGCGGTCCACAAGGACTGACTAAATGAAGATGAAATATGCCTCACTGACTTCTGGACAGGTTTCATAATCGCACACTGAGCTGCAAATCCTCCAGCAAGGACAATAAGAAGACATTTTTCAGGCCGCTTAGCGCAGCACCGGGATGATTTGGCTCCTCATTCTGCTGGGTGAGCGGATCTGAGGGCATGGGACTGTCACCTAACCGACTCTTGACTTGACCGGAACCATTTTACGGCCACAGAAAAAAAATTGATCTCTGGCTTTGCCGGATGGCTTTTGCAGGAATAAGACGGGCATCCTGGGCTGGAGGAGCGAGAAGACGGAGGCGGTGAACGGATATGAGGCCAAGGTAGGACACCAGCCGCTCAGACAGCTCACCGAATTCCAAAGGCCTGCTGCTAACAGAGCTCAGCCTGGTATCAGCTGCTCTTCCAGTGCTTTACTTACAGAACAGATGATTGGAAAAAAAACTTTAAATTCAACGGCAAAGCTCTAACCCAGAAAGACATGAAATATTCAGGCTAGAATAAAGTTTAATGACATCACATTTGGATTATTTTGAACCTGTTTGATTCCCACCCTCCACCTGCCACCAGTGGCTCAGGAGCGCTCTGGCTAGACTGTGAGATATTTTGGTGCCTGAAAAGCATCGGTTTTCTGCGTCATTGATTTAGAGACGCAAATGTAAACACCCGGCTCCCGTTGAGTCGCCCTGCGCAACCTTTTTAAGTTCTTGTCCGCCGTCCAGTATGAGTTTACAGGTCTGCAGCTTTCTTAATATTTAATGTGTGTTTTATATTTATGGCCACGGCCAAGGAATTCCTCTGGTTCTGCAGTGGGATGCTGTTGCACTGCGGAGCGGCATCTATTTTTCAATGCGGTTGACAGGAGTCGTGCTCTGGGGGTCGGGAGCTTTTGCAGATGGCGTCCTCCTGATCACTCGCCTGCTGTTTTTCTCTCAGGTGTACGCAGCCTCCAACGTGGAGCTGATCACCAGAACCAGGACCGACCACCTGACGGACCAGAACAAGAACAAGACAAAAGGTAATTCCCTTCCTCTTAAGGGCCAACACATCCCGACCGCAGAGCTGAGGCCCTTCGATGATCAACATCCACCCTCAGGTTCCTTCTAATATTCACCAGGAAGGTAGTGGCACTGAAAGCAACCTCTAAATGAGTCATTTGCCCTTCCATTCTGCATCATGTCTTTTTTTTTTACAAAGAAAAAATAAAAGAAAAAGTGCAATCAATATGCTGTTTAGGGAAACAGTTCAAATGGCCAAAAAACCAACACTATTACAAGCTAGTCAGACTTTCTCATATATTACGCATATCTGACCCCTTAACGCCCGAATTTACTATCGACCATATAAAAAACAGCAGGTGCGCATTTTTCTTTCAAGCCAATCAGTCCCATGAACATGCCTGGGCTTGCGACACACTCATAAATACGTATTGAACATGCATCAACTGCCATCGGGGGAATAAATACTCATAATAAATACATTTTATATGCATTGTGATTGAAAGTGGATAGCGACAGTTGGGCTTTAAAGGCCTAAACAGGCAGCAGCTGTTGGTCCTTACGTGTTCTTTGACGAAACTGAGTTCTGTACGTGGATCTTTCACCTCGGTACGGCGATCAGATTACGCTCCCTGTCAGACAAGCAGGAGGTTAAACCATGCATTTATTAAAGAAAATCTCAGCCTAGTGCCACGGGTGCAGCTGTGTCATCCTGTGGCTGTTTATCACCGGTCGTTTCCCACCTAACCTGCTTCAGCCCGGACCATTTAGGAACAAACAAACGGGGAATCTGGAGCACGTGCTGATTCTCAGGCTCAGGTCAAGCAGCGAGAGATATCAATTCCCCTGGCCTTGCGCAAAATGTCAGGGGGTTGTGAATTACAGCTGGTTAGGCAAACTCTGAGGGACGTGAAGACAGCCATGAGACTCTGAGCACACTTGCACCAGAGTCTCTGGTCTGGAAAATGGAAAAGCTAAAACGAAAACAGGACGTTGTTGGTCATTGAGTATTTATTCGTGATGTGACTCCTACTCAATTTAAAACCAAGCCAAAGATGACTCCCGTTGACCAGTGGAGTTATTTCTGTTGACGCAGCCTATGGTTTTGGTTAATGAGCATCTATTATTTATGCGTAAAAAGCAGTCAGAAAACAGCTCATCAAATACAGCTTTGTTGTGTATAGAGGTGTAATCTGGTTTGAAAGGTAACAGCATTGTTAAAAAAAAAAGGATTCAGCTTTAGGTGCAGAAAGGTGTAGAATTCTGTTTTACATCCATCAAACTGCTATTTTCTGTATTTTTTTCTTTCTCTTTTCATGCTCGAATGCTTCATCGGTCAGTGTTTAGTGACTCATCAAACGCACACGCAATTGTGCTTGGAAATATTGAAGTACAACAGTATTGAAAAAGTAACCAATGTGCGGATAGAAATGCCAGAAAATCCTCAGACGGCCTCAAGAACTGTTGTTCAAGACCTGTTGTACGTGTTACAAACTTCAATTAAAGAGTCCATGTAATACCCCTTTTCAACTCGATAATCTAGGACTCACATGTCCCCAGAATGAGTCAGCGGACCACTCACAGCCATGGAAAAAGGGCCGCCTCTTGTCGGGATGAGACGGAATACAGGGTGTAATATGGGGAGAATAAAGAGGAAAATAGGGCCACTATTTCTGCTACACTGTATATTCAATTCAGTGTCTTGGATACCTGCATCATGTAACTGGGAAAAGGCCCATCAGCAGAATACGGAAAAAGTCCAAGTTTCTCCATCTACCAAAACTGGACTGTAAGGTTAATCGATGGTGATCATATTCTGAGGCAACTCTGTTGCGACTGTCATTGTCCCTCTGTTCATTTCACTTGGAATACTCACAAACAAAAAGTCCTTTTTTTTTGGCATGAATATTTTAGAACAAGACACAGTGAGTAAACCAGTTCCTAACGAAATGCGCAAATGCGTTAAAGTGACCAGTTTGAGTTTAGCAATCGTGATTCGCCGGCTGTTTTTGAACTCATATCTGTCTGAACAGGTGGGAAAACTCCACTGCAGAACTTCCTTGGAATTGCTGAGCAACACATGGGGCCCAACAATGGAGTAAGTAGAATGCATGCACACATATGTATATATACATGTGTGTTCTTTATGTTTTCCTTGGATGGACAGTGCACTGCAGCTTATCACCCCTTTAAGTCACTCCAAGGCACCAACCTGCCCTTTGATTTGATGTTTTTTCATCTGTTTGGCTCAGAGAGCCTCCATGACTCACAGCCCATCCTCACACTCTCCCCTCTGTCTTCACTCTCATTGTCACCGTTAGTCATCTTCACTCTGTCTGCCTCTCTGTCTATCCCCACAACACCATTCAGTTCAGACAGCTTTTTCGTTTTTTCCCCGTCCCAGAAAAATGTTTCCTGTAGATTCGTTAAGCAGTTTATATTTCACAGACCCGATAACGACACGGTTAGTCGTTCTCAACGGACGGAAACCATTTCTTTGAGCAGTGGGGAATCGACTGAGACGCTGAAGGCTGACGAGAGGACGGCTCCGTCTTCTGTTTCGACTTCCCCGCAAAACTCCCATCGAGCTATTGGAAATGTCAAATCAATTCTTTGCAAAAAGTTCAGGCCTCCTTGCTCAATATTATGGCTCTCCAGAGGAGAGACGGTGAACTCGCCTGGAAAAGTTATAAAAGATCAAGCAAAATGTTCAACAGTTATGGCTAAAATGAAGCCATCCACCATAACTGTTTGGCTCCCTTTTAAGCATTCAGGGGGAAAAAATCGTTTGTTATTATTTTCCGGGCCCCAGAAACCATGAGCTGTGTTCGGGGTGTTTAGATGGAGGACACACCTCTAGGTTAGAATGAAAACCAGCCCTCGCCCATTTCCTCAGTGTTGCCCAGAGCTATGGGTTTGTGGTTTTATATTTCGATTTCATGATTTTTAAATTTTCCTGTCATTTTACCGTCCGAGGTTTGAGTTAGATTTTTTAGTGTTTTTATCGTCTCCTCTGTAACCCATTTTTGGGATTGGTTTTCATCACCATAGTCCCACAGTTTTGCTCCGTTCATGCTGTTTGCTCCACTTTTTTTTTGTTTTCACCTGTGCTCACTATTCTCAGCTGCTTTTTTCCCTGACCTTTTTTTCATCCCTTTTAAGTAACGTTTAAGCCTTTAGTTTGCCCTGATGTTCTGTTTTATTCTGTGAATAATGAAAAGTTTTCACCCCTCATGTTTTGACATTTCTGCCCTGCTTTTTGGGACACAATGCAAATGTTTAGCCCCGGGGTAATCATTTGTGTTATTCTCTTTAGTGGGCCACATCTAATTGGAAGCTGCTTTCTGGGAAAGCCAATCTCCGCTCATTGCAAAGCTTTATCGGGCTCTTTCTAAACGCTGAACTTTGAAAGGAAAACAAACTGATTGGATTTCGGGAGGCAATTTGGAACCCGAATGACTTTCAGAGAGTATATTTAGAATCGAATTTGCTTGTTTTGTTTTTTACTTGTTACTGGCCAGCAGTGTCAAACCGTAGATTGACTTACACAGAAGTACATCGTGGATTAAAGAAGAATCTGGAGCAATTTAAATTTAACTTTTGTTTGCAGACTCTTAAAAAGTGGAAAAAGGAGGAATAATGTTTTTTTTAGCTTCTAGGACACCCAGACTTTAATCAGCCACCCTACAAATGAGCCTAACTTTTCTCCTGCCAGCTATTCAGCATCCCCAACTCTTGTCATCCAGGGTGGGGGCAAGATTTTTCGTCACCCTGCGGTGATCCCGCAGTCTTTTCCCCCCAAACGCTCGGTTTTCACTCATCGTTTCCCTTTCTCGAGGCTCTGGTGACCCAGATGTTGTCCCCCCCGGCGACAAACCCCGCGGCGCTGACGGCCGAGGAGTACTTCAACCCAGGCTCGTCGCTGACTGCCAGGGACATCGGCCACCCGTGCCAGCTCACCACCAAGACCCAGAGGTGACTCAGAGAAGCGCCCTAAAGCTAACCCTGAGGTGTCGGAGAAAAGGAAAGGGTGAAAAGGAGTCAGGGGTAAAAAGTCAGGCTTCCTTATAGTTATCACATGGGGATGTTTGCTCTTACAAAGCCACTGCAGAACCGAGCAGGTAGATCCATCTCCACTGTCCACTGTGTATCGTCCAGCTCACGCGGCCATAGGCTGACTCAGCACATTGTGCACACTGCTGTACTGTACAAGCAATACAACATGAAATGAAAGAATCCTGCGCTGGTCCCCAAGAGGAAAACTCTAATAAACTGTGACGATTAGAACTAAGGGCAGCACAGTGGTCAGCACCATCGCCTCTCCGGGTTCTCCGGCTTCCTCCCACCGTCCAAAAACCTGCCTGTTAGGTTGATTGGACATCCCAAATTGCCCTTAGGAGTGAGTGTGAGTGTGCGTGGTTGTTGGTCCTTGTGTGTCTCTGTGTGGCCCTGCGATGGACTGGCGGACCGTCCAGGGTGTACCCCACCTCTCGCCCAGTGACCACTGGGATAGGCTCCAGTTCCCCCGCCGCGATCCCATGAGGGAATAAGCGGTTCTGAAAATGGATGGATGGATGGATTAGAACTAAACGAGGCTCCAGAGGTGACGCAAAGTCAGAAGCCTAAGCACCCAGAGCATTTATGAGCTGAGACAGTCTCAGCCGCCTGCCAAATGGCCTTCAAATGACTATTGGTCCGTCTGCCGTCCTGTCGTTTCCCGTCATTCCCCGCCACTAAACGAGAAGCGACAGGATAGATTTCGTCGCAGCGGTCAGGCCGCCTCTTGATTCTGCGTTAATTACCGACCGGGCCGGGGTTCAAGCGCCACTCAGCAGCTGCGGGTCAGTTAGTTCGTTCACGGCCGGCCAAAGAGCGGTCCGGCGTAGGCCCCTGTCGTGAGCGGAGGCCTTTCCTCCGCCGCTGGTCTTGAGCACCCCCGGCGTGTTTGTGCTTGGTTGCAGGTTCAAAGCCAAGCTGTGGCTGTGTGAGTCCCATCCCCTGTCCCTGGCCGAGCAGGTGGTGCCCATCATCGACCTCATGGCCATCTCCAACGCTCTGTTCGCCAAGCTGCGCGACTTCATCACTCTGCGGCTGCCGCCCGGTTTCCCCATCAAAATCGGTGAATGACACACGGGACAGTCGGAATGACCACAATGACGATGAGAGGAAGTTGAAAGGTTGAAAGGTTTGGGTGCAAACTGACTGGACTGGACTTTTCCTGCAGAAATCCCGCTGTACCACATCCTCAACGCCAGGATCACTTTCAGCAACCTGAACGGCTGTGAGGAGGGAGCCGGCCCCCGGCCCGACAACGAGCAGGGGGTGGACGGGGATGGACAGAGGGACACGCCGGTCGCAGACACCCCGTCTCCGGGCAGTGACTCGTCCAGTGTGTCCAGCTCCAGCTCCACCAGTAAGAGGACACTCCGGCAGACGCCCCACTGTCGGCCATCTTTTAAAACTCTTTTTAAAAGTTTCTGACAAGCTTGCGTGTAAATTCTAAAATCCACGCTAACATTTGCGGCAGGTGGTGCTCTTCAATGGGGTCACCATTGTTTTTTCAATTTTTTTATCACTGGCTGTGTCCCCTGAGTTAAACTACTGTAGTTGCCACCTTTAAAACACCTCTTAACAACCTCTGTTTTCTCTGGAATCATTCCCGTTTCCCTTTTCTCACTCTTCCCCTTTAGTTTCTTACGCTGTCCGATAACAATCCCTCCCATTTCTTGCCCTTTGCCTTCCCCCCCCCCCCCCTGTGTGGAACAGTGTCGTGCCGAGCCGGAGAGATCCCCCCGTGCGTGTTCGAGCCCCCGCCCGGATACACCATGCTAGGAGGCAAACAGAGAGACAGCATGAGGGAGGAGGAGGAAGATCTGCTGCAGTTCGCTATACAACAGAGTCTCCTGGAGGCTGGATCCGAATACGACCAGGTGAAATGGGATGGGGGAACCACAACGCAGGAATCGGGGTCTGTCTAGTTTTTTGGAGCCAGTCCCACACATCGGGTTTCAAATCCATTCTGGATCCTGTTAGCCTCAGATCAAGGTGTACATGTGAGATATATGTGTAGCTCATCCCACTCAGAAATAAGTCTGAAAAAAACAGTGTTATAAGCTATAGCCTTGCAGGACTACACTCAAATTTAACAAATCTTAGCAAGTATGAAAGGCCCAGAGTCTTAATTCCTGTCTTGTTTCAAATCTTTCAATGTCTGGATGTCTTTTTTTAATGCATTTATTTATATTTTCCACATTAACGGATAATGTGAACACATTACAAGCAGCAGAGGGTTTTGTGTGAAATTAAATTAACTGGTGGAGAGAGAAAAAATAAATTTATTTTACGAGATTCGAAAAGATTTGTCTGCCTTATCAATCATGTCGGACTGTGTTTGCCTTGAACAAAACACGGCGATAAAAGCCAGCGAGGAGCCGATACAGGCTAGACGGCTGCTTGCACTGAAGTGTGGAAAAAGTAACCAATTTTGAAATAAAAACAATCAATGGTGAAGTAAAATCAATATGGAGGATAAATCGTTCCTGATACATGGAGTCCAGACTCATATTTAACACGGTTTCAAGACAGGAGCTCTTATAGGCCTCTGAGATTCAGGTCCTGATAGGTCTTGGCTTTTTTTCAAAGGGGTGCAGCGACTGAGCTATAAATAGCTTTGTTGAGACAGTTCAAAGAGCGTCCTGGTGAGTTACTTTTAGCTGAGATACAAAGGGGAAGGAAGAGAGAGCGAGCGGAGCAGGATTGGGGATTCGTACTGTAGTCATCTGGGGCAGCTTGCTGTTGTTAGCCGCTCAACCGGCTGCCCGAGGTGATGAGACTTTTAATTGCAGCTGAAATATTCAAGTGCTGACATGGTGTGTATCAAAGATTTTGCAGCAACGCAAATCGATCATGTGGTCAAACCTCCGCAAGGTCACTTCCCAGCCTTCAAACACAATGAAGGACTCATTGGGACTACTTGATCTTAGCTGATATGAAAATAGTTTTTCTTTTACTGTGTTCTCCGTAGTTTGGATACTTGGAAACAAAAAAAACTGGTGTCCATTGTTCAATTTCCTTTTTTCCAAATTGAACCTAAATTGGTGAAACCATGTAATCTAAATGGAGGCACAATGATTGTAGCCATGTTTTTGCTTTTGAATGTTTAGACAGATAGATAGATAGATAGATAGATAGATAGATAGATAGATAGATAGATAGATAGATAGATAGATAGATAGATAGATAGATAGATAGATAGGTAGATAGATAGATAGATAGATCTAGTTTGCTCTAAGAGTAAAATTGACATAACTAGTATGTTTTTTTTTTCTTCTGTTTGTTGAATTAGTCTATAATTCCTAACGCGTAACAACACAGACCCCTTTTTCCTAGAATTCATTCATCACTAAGTGGAACAAAACTCACATAAGAGAGGTACAGCTCTATGTGACCCTATTCAGAGTTTATCTGGTGATGTCAGCCTCAGAGAGAGGATTTAGTTATTTATTTTCGTTTTCTTTGCTACCTGTTAGCTTTTTAGTATTTTTTATGTATTGCTAGTCACTGGTGGACGCAAGGGGGATTTCATAGGAGCACATTTGAGATGTGCGGCAACAGGCCAGCATGGAGGGAAACCGTTTTTACAAAGCCCTCCATCTCTCCGTCCATCCACTTCCTGCCCCCTGCACTCTGACCTCCTGTGCCACTTCTCCTTATTTCCAGGTGACCATTTGGGAGGCACTGACCAACAGCAAGCCCGGAACGCACCCCCTTTCCTGCGACCCCAGCCGTCTCGACAGGTCTGGAGAAAAAATAAAAAGCTCTTTTTCTTTCACTGTAGTCCGCCATGCTTCAGTCTGGTGTGTGAGATCTGCAGACACGGTTGGAGACAAAAGTCTGAATCCTCTCGCAAAAGAGCGTTAACCAACATGGCGGTCAGCAAGTGAAATGTCCTCCCATCCACCCCCCCCCGTCTCTGACCTCCTCCCCATCCTGTTATGCGTTGTTATTCGGAGTCTTAGGGCCCTCCATTGTATTCATCCCCATTCTGTCGACCCGTCCTTCTATCCTTGACCCACATCCTGTATCCCTGTTTCTCTATTATCTTATCCATCCTGCCATTCTTCTCTCGCCTCTTATCAGCTCTGCACGCCTCTGCGCCTGTTTGTTTTCCCTTTTCTCTTCTTTCCTCACGGGGAGCGGAGGATGAATTTCCTGCTGTCGCTGCGCTCGCCGGCGCTGCGGTTGGCTAAAGGCCGCCATCTTTCTCCACCGGTCACTGTTTGCGTCTGTGAGGCAGTGCCATGTGAGGAGAAAGATAGTGCGCCTTCTTCAGTTACATGCTTTTAAGTTTACGAAGAAAAAAAAGGCATAAAAATCTAAGCCGGGCAAAAGTAGCGTGCGAAAAAATGATTTAAAAGCCTTTTGTCCCCTTCAGAGCTACTTGAAGAACTGACGTTCTGTGTGACGTTACCAGTCTCTTATGGAGGATTTCCACTCATCTTTACAAAATTGCTTTGGTTCGTTGATATTTGTTGGGTTTTTTTTTAATGCACAGCCCTTTTTTGTTTTTTTGCATTACGGTCCTGCTCTAGTCCAATCCGTCTGAAGGACATTGTTCCAGTCTTGTAAAAAGAAAAAAGAAAAAAACTTTCTCCTGTGACAATCCCCCCCCCCAAAAAACAACCCAAAAAACACAGACCTGTGGAGTCTGAGTTTTTTTTTTTTTTTGGTGTAATTCAACCGGAGTGTTGCACAACCTGACTTTTAGGGTGAAATTATTGGGAATAATCTAAGGATTATATGTTTTCTCCATCCATTTATTCCTTAACGGGGTCACGGGGGGACTGGAGCCTATCCCAGTGGTCAATGGGCGAGAGGCGGGGTAAACCCTAGACGGTCCACCAGTCCATCACAGTGCCACACAGAGACACACAACCATGTGTGTGTTTGGGTCTCCCACTGTCCAAAAAAACTCATGTTTTTGGACAGTGAGAGGTCACTGGAGTAGTCGGACAGAACCCCTCACAGTCACAGGAGACTGATCCACTCGTCTAACTCTGCTTCCTCTGCCTCTGTTCAGGACCCCCCAGCACAAGCCCCGCCCTCCATCCAGCCTGTCTTCCACCCCGTCCAAGAAGCAGCCGCCGGCCTGCAGCTACGACCAGCAGCTGCGCATCGCCATGGAGATCTCGGCCCGGGAGCAGGAGGAGGCGGAGCGCCGGCGGCGGCGGGAGGAGGAGGAGCTGCAGCACATCATCCAGCTGTCGCTCATGGAGAAATGAGAGCCCAGTGGCCCGGGTGGGGGGGGGGGGGGGGGGGGG